TAGACTTCATGCTCTTGATCATTCATTACACAATTTTAAGGGCTGAGGATGTAGCTCAGTGGCACAGCACCTGCCTGGCAAGTGCAAAGCTGTGAGTTTGATTCCCAGTACCAAAATAATAATAATAATAATATTAAAAACAGCTTTCATAGCTGGCATAACAGCTTGAAAGAAACTAAGGATAGATTAGCAGAACTGGAAGACAGATTTGTAAGGTGGGAGCATGAAATGAAAAACTTCTTAAAAATAACAAGAAAACAAACAGCAATAATACAAAGACTGGAAGATGATAAGAGGATCTATAACTTAAGAATTAAGAACATAAAAGAAGAAGTAGGGACTCAAACAAATGAACTACAAAAGCTATTCACAGAAATAATCCAGGAGAATTTCCCTAATTTAGCAAAAAGGTAAAGATACTCAGATGTATGAGGCATACAGGCCCCCAGCCACCTACAACCCAAACAGAGCTACACCCAGGCATATAATAATCAAAATTCCAGAAATCCAATATAAGAATAGAATGTTAAAAGCCGTCAAAGACAAGAAACAGATCACTTACAAGGGAACACCCATCAGAATTACAGCAGACTTCTCGGCACAAACCATCAAATCACAAAGAGCGTGGGGGGAAATAATTCAAGCCTTGAAAGATAATAACCTCCAGCCAAGACTGATATATCCTGCACAACTGCCCTAGAAATTGATGGAAAAACAAGGTGCTTCCAGGATAAAGAGGAACTAGGGGAATTTGCAACCACCAATTCAACTCTACAGAGATTACTGCAGGATATTCTAAAAATGAAAAATACCAAGATTCCAGAAACAGTGGCAGAGCAGCCACAATGAATGGAGCAGAAAGAGAAATGAAGAGGACAAACTGACAACCAATGACAGAAAAAGAGCTCAACAGAAATGAGGCAGAGAAGGTTGGATGGTAGGAACAGCCATTTTGGAGAAAACAAGACATCATAATAGGTAGTGCTGATTTAATATCCTCTTGTTTTGAAGTCCCATCAAGCTTTTGTTCTTCTGTCTCCATCAGTTTTAACCTGTTGTATCTTATTGGATTTTATTATATGTGATAAACAAAAACTTTTATAGACAAGGAGATTATACAGAAACCATTGTTCATTTTCTATTAGTTGATTCTAAATACCTTGTAATACTGTCATTCTCTTGAACAGTTTTACATTGTCTTGATACGTTTGATGCTGTAGTATACGAAGTTATTCCCAAAGATTTTAAGGGAAGAGACATTATGGTAACTACTATTATATAGAGATTATCTTGTGGTGAAACACTATTTTGCTTAAATGGCTATGTTTTGACCTGTGCTGTTTTGTTGTTATGCCCTCTTTTTTTATCTCAATCTCCTTTTTATTATCTACTTTTTCATTTTTATCCTTTTAATTAAGGAAAAATAAATAAAAAATAGCAGGATATATTATAGTAACCCACTTTGATTTCCTATTAACTTGATTTGAAACTCTGTATTGCTTTCACCATCTTGTTTTGACTGATTTTCTTCTATTCTGTTCTGCTTGATAGTACCAAGTTTGAAAGTATAGGCAACAACTATGAAGACAATAAGATTCATTGTGACGCCCATTCTGGTTGACTATTATCTTCTTTTGAAGTCCTCTAATATCTCCAATGTTTTGATTTTATTGGTCTTATTCTTTACTGTTTTGTTCAATTTTATTATAACTGATGATATAGGCAATTCTTTTTAAGATAACAAGAGGCATTATGGTAACCATTGTTGATCACCTTGTATTTTGTTTTTACATTATGTATTATGTCCATCCTTTTGATTTGACTGACTCTGTCCTGGTATGTCACATTTGGTTTTACTTTCTTCAAAAAAAAAAAAAAAAAAGTAATAAGAACTGTGGGAGTAATAAAACCCAAAATGTGTAATTGTCATTATACAAAGGAAAAGAAAAGAAAGTTTTCTAAAAGATATAACTGCATATATATTTAAGTGTATAAGATAGATAACCATATTACTGAGTTTTGTTGGATCATTGAACAAAACTGTTTCCAGTTTCACTGTTTGAAAGTCCCCTCTATATGCTTTAATTTTGTAACTTCAACAACTATTTCTAAAATGACAATATATAATTAACTAGTGATTTCCTACTGTTTATTTTTTCTGAAATTCTGTATAACTTGTACCCTTTTTCTGTTTTTTTTTTATTTTTTCTCCTTAAATAAAATTTAAAAAAAAAACAAAACAAACAAACAAAAAAACAGCTTTCATTATACAATTTCAGGAAAAAAAAAATGTGCTGAGAGAAAGCCTGAGAGGGAAAGAAAGTTCAAAGCCATAAGTCCAGTGAGAGCAACTGTAAGGATGTTCAGAATTTTCAGGTCCTTTGCAAGTATCCATTCTTCAGCTACCTGAGTCCCAGTGTAATGGACAGAGTAACTAACACTGTAGAGTAATGCAGCCGCCTAAGCTTTGTAAATATCCAGAGCTAAGACGGATTAGATTCCAGGCAATAATTGCAAAGGCTGGAACAAACCCTGACTTCTAGGCCAGTAGCTCAGATGCTCAGATAAGTCAGCAGTTAAGTCCACTCTCAATAGAGTTCTATTCTATTTCCTATTCCAGTTCTGATAACTGTGTATAGTGACATGCTGCCCAAATCTCCCTTATAGAATTGAGATGTTCGCTCTCCCAGCTGCTGGGAATGTTGGCTGCTATAGACTCACAGCTAAACCTCTTTATTTTTATTTTTAGGTATTGGGGATCAAACTCACGACCTCACACTTGCCAGGTAGGCGCTTATGCTGCTGAATCCCGGCCTAAACCTCTCTTATTTATTTTACAGACAGTGTCTCACTATGTAGTTCAGGCTGAGCTTGAACTTGAGGCTGTCTTTCTGCCTCAGTCTCCTGAGTGCTGGGATTACAGGTATCAGCCACCTAAGTCTCTCTTTTTGCAAACTACCTTTTGTTTTTTCTTTTGGTATGGTGGATTGAACTCACAGCCTCATGCTTGCCAGCTAGGTGCTGTGCTGCTAAGCTAAATCCCCAGCCAAAGGGAGCTGCCACAACCAAGGTCATGTGTCCACTTTGTGGACAGCTCACACTTGCTAACTGGCAGGTGTGGAGATGTAAAAGCCCATCCCTTGATTTAATGTAAGACAACTGGGAAGGAGCTATCCTAAGTAGGCCGCGGGCAATTAAAGCACAGCTGTTAAGATCATCATCAGAGCAAGGGAAGAATGGGCTGGTAGTGTGATTATGCAAAGTTTAGTGAAAGTGATAATTACTGTAATAACCATGGAATCAGATGGCTCTTGCTGGGTTTTAGTGATTCATTGGCAAAAGACAAAGGAAGTCAGTTAATTATTCAATTAAAGGAAGTGTGAAGGCCAGAGGCCTCTGCTGTAACACATAAAAAAACTCTTGCTTCCCACCTCCCGCTGATTAGGAAAAAAATTGATTTCTAGGTTTTCATAAGGTTAACAGTTTCAAGACCAGCCCTAGTAGGACTGCTAAGCCAAAGTTGGATTCTGTTGGGAGAGTGAAACCCTGAGGCAGCTAGAGGACATCTTCGTCGGTGTAAAAATATTGAATCTCCAGATCGCCCTCCAGCCCTCTGAGCTCATTTGCCCCCATTAAAAGCCAGTCTCACTTGAGTGAAGATGACGCCTGTCTGCCCTGAAAACTCTATGAGGGAGGAACCCCTTTACCCCAGCAGCCCAATAAAGAGGGTTCACACATAACCTGGCTGGCAAATGGTAGCGGAAGTGGGTGGACTGGCCAGGAGCTAAGCGGGAAGAAGATGCTACACTTCAGAGGGCTACAGCTGGGAAAGGTGTCTGGGAATGGATGCTGAGAGTGCTGGATCAATTTTATGGTTTAACCAACTTGGAGACAAGAGGGAGAGTTTATCCATATGACTAAGTTCAACTTAGTAACATAGTGCACCTAGGTAACCCTTTGTGGTACACCGTTTCATATCTTGCCAACCTGAATTTGTGTCCCAATTTGTTCTCTGTATTTCAGTCGTGCCAAACTACATTCCTAGATCATAATCTTTAACCCCTCTGTAAAACCCCTAATTGCTCTCTCCACCTGAAGTATTTACCCTACTCCATTTTGCAGTTGTATGAGATGCCTATTGCTTTGTACTTCTCTTTCAAAACTCAACCGAGATGGGAATTTTATTTGCTAATGGAGAAAAAAACTAATTATTTTGGGGAAGTAATTTGGCAATACTGAGGGTCTTCAAAATGTAAAGAGAAACTGAATTTCTCCCTAAGGGAAAAATCTGAACCATAGGAACTGAAAAGTTCTTGCCCTAGTATAAATTACTATATTTTTATGGCGGTGCTTCTTCTTCAGCCCTAATTGCAGCTCCCCTTCCTGTTTGCACGCAGAGAATTCCAATCAGTTCCTCACACATAATCAATCTACCCCATGTGCCACTTCAATCGGAGGTCATATGACCCTCTGCCTCCCTGTATCTGGTCGAAGGAGACAGCCCAACTGCCATGGGTTGTATGCTCCTTTCCATGTCCTCAATAAACCTGTTCATTTTATATTTTTTGCTTCTCTATTGTGCCAGAATACCCTAACAGGAGCAAACTTATGCATGTATCCAAAGTAGCATACTTATTACTAAAAAAAATTAAATGTAATCTTGGGCTGAGGATGTAAGTCAATGGTAGAGTGCTTGTCTAGCATGTGTGAGGTTCTGGGATCAACACCCAGTGAAAGGTTCTTGCCCTCGTACAAATTCTTGTACAATTAAGGTGATGATCTAACGTGGTAGAAGGCCAAAGCAGGAACCTTTACCCTGACAGCCACTCACTCCATCTTTCCCTTAGGCCCAAATTGTTTTTTTTTTTTTTAACTTTTTATGGGTACCAGGGATCGAACTCACGACCGCCTCCCATTTATGGGCCAAGAAAATTCCAATCAGTTCCTCATACATCATCAATACCCGCCCCATGTGCCATTTCTGATCAAGGTTATACAACCTTCTGCTCTTCTGGATCCAGTGGGAGTAGAAAGCCAAACCCTGCAGGTTGTGGGTTCCTCTCCAGGTCCTCATATAAAAAGGCCACTTTCATTTTCTCTTTCCCTCTGCTTCTCTATTGTGCCAGAGAACTCTTAACACCCAGCACTGCAAATACAAAACAAAACAAATGTGACTCAAATATCTGGAAATATAGATATGCAAATTACACCCATAGAAAGAAATTGCACATAGCTAATGAAAATTAGGTTTAAATAATTGATTACATATATATATATATGCTTACACCACTAAATTTATTTATTTTTGTCTATTTGAGACAGGTTCTCAATATGCAGTTCAGGCTGGCCTTGAGCTTGTAGCCCAGATTGGTCTCAAACTTGAAATGATCCTCCTTGACTTAGCCTCCCAAGTGCTGGGATTACAGGCATGCGCTACCACTCCAGCTAACACTAAATTTAAAAATATGTTAAATTTATTGTAATCTAACTTTGCAATAACGTGATAGGAAAAACACTGAAGAAAAATAAAGAGAATCTAACTGCACATCACTGAGCATTGGCATTACAGCTGATTCAAGTTTTCTTCTTTCTTATGCCCTTCTGTTTTGCCCAAACTTCTCTAGGTATAGGCACTGACTTCTGTTTTTTGTTTTTCAGTAGTGAGGATCAGTGAGCTACATCCCCATTTCTTTTTACATTTATTTTGAAAACAGGCTTGCTAAGTTGCCCAGGTTAGATTTGAACCTGCGGGGTCTTCCTGTCTCAGCCTTCTCAGTGTTAGAATTTTAGAATGTGCAACCGCACCTGACACTTTCATTTAATGAAACACAAGGTTTTTTTTTTTTTTTTTTCCATTTTTATCAGTACTGGGGATTGAACTCACGACCGCCTGCTTGCAAGGCAGGTGCTTATGCCGCTGAGCTAAATCCCCAGCCCCACAAGTTATTTTTAAAAAGCCTGGAGTTTTTTTTTTTTTTTAATTTTTCCCTAGGACAAAAGGTATTTTCCTTCCACAGTGTAATTTAAAATACACATTTATAAATTATAACCATAGTTCTTATCAAACACAGTCCTCTATTGACCCATCTATATTTTTCACCAGGACTAGGAAGGTGGGAATTTAATCTTTCACTTCCCCGACTTGGCATCCATGCAGTGCCTGGTACACAACAGGCTCCTAACATGTCTTGCTCCCAGAGGAAATGAAGCTGTTTCTAAATTCTAGGGCAGGGCATGGGATCTTTATTATTGTGAAGCTAAGAATTAAAAAAAAACAACAAAAAAAACAACAAAAAAAACCCTATAATCTATTAAAAACGAATTTTTGGATTTTTAAAAAAATTTTTTTTGTTTGTACCAAGGATCAAACCTCACATTTGCCAGTCAGGGCCTTAATACCGCTGAGCTACATCCCAGGTCCCAAAACAAATTTTTTTGGAGGAAAGAATAGATAGTAATAAACTTCAGTTTAGGTCAGTGAAACCTATATATTAGGTTATCATTTTTAAAACCCCAGAATTCCTGACAAAAGGAATAAATTTACAGCAAAACATGATGCATGCTATAATTACTCCCAACTATTGTTCATCACAACCAATGTTTTCCTTAAAATGAACTCGGGATGTAACACAGCACCCTTCCAGATGAGCGTGAAGGAAGCCAGGTGCTTCCCTTTGTCCTCTCTCCTGGGAGCGGGGCGGGGGGGGGGGGCAGGGCCGTATTTCACAGCCGGCTGTAAACACACTCTTCCAGTTGGCGCCAAGCACATAGCAGGAAAATTGAGCAGGCTTTTAATGTGAAAAATGCTTTGCATACATTACACCCCGAAGAAAAGCTGTGTCCTTCAGCAGCACCTAATAGAAGCTCTCCTTTGAGGACTTTGAGCGCAAACCAGCCAGTCACAAACTCACATTCTCAGGAAAAATGAGTGCCCTGTTTAAAATGACAAGGGAGGAGCCAAGCGCAGTGGTGCATAGTAATTCTTGGAGGCTGAGGCAGGAGGATCACTGCAAGTTTGAGGCCAGCCTGAACTGCATAGTGAGATCCTTTCTCAAAAAACCTCAAAATTAACTGAAAAAACAAAATGTAAAGGAAGTATTTTACGAACCATCTGAACAGGAGGGAGAGGAAAACTCCTAGGCGGCTGGATTTGTCACTCAGGGTTTTTCCAGTATTAACCAGAGGGCCCCGGTTATAACTGCCTCCCAGGAGAAAAAGAAACTTTCAAGAGGCCTTTCCCGGGCTCTGCGAGCGCGGAAGCAGAAGCAGCACAGGACGCCTCACAAGCCCCCAGACCGCACACGGACCCGAAGCAGTAGCACCTGCGGGCGGGAACGCCGAAGGCCGATGCGCGTGTGCCTGGGGCTCGGCGTGAGCGCGCAAGACGCCCCCACCCCCACCGCGCGAGCCCCACACACTCGGAGGAGGCGCGGCCAACGGCTGCAGCGGGCCTGGGCTGCGGCGGCGATGGCGACGGGGCCGGGCGCCGCGGGACCTGACGACTCGGTCCCGGACACGGCCCCTGGCGGGGCGGGCGGGGAGGCGCCCGCCGCGTCCCCGGTGCGCACGGTGGTGGCCTCGCTGCGCCCTGAGAAGGCGCCCGCGGGGCGCGGCGGACGGCGGCTCCGGCTGCAGCAGGCGTTGGCGGCCGAGGCCGAGGGCGAGGCGGGGCCGCTGGAGGACGCGGGGCGGGGCCGAGAGGCGGGGCCGGGGGCGCGGCCCCTGCCGGCCGTGTGCGCGACCCCGCTGCGGAGCATGTGGCGCGCGGAGAAGGCGGCGCTGTACTGCGACGAGGTGCTGCGGGGCGCCAAGGTGAGGGCGAGGCGGAGACGAGGAGCGATGCGGCCGCGGTCCGGGTCGCGCGTCGCGGTGCGGAGGCTGAGGGCGCCGGTCTTCCTCTCAGGGCATGGGCCCCGATGCACCTGGATGCCGAGCCGCGCAGCTGCCGCCCGGGGGACCCCGTAGAGGGCGGCCGACGGCGGCGTCTGAGCGCCGGAGAGACGCGGGTATTCCCGGCTGTCTGGCCAGGCGAGCTCCTCAGGCTGTTGAGTTCGCAGCGACAGTGTGTGCCTAAACGTGACGGTGACAGTGCTTAGCCGTTACACTGGGGAAGAATGATTCGCGGATAACTGCAACGTGTTAATGTTTTGCATAGAGAGAGAATAACTGTTCACACTGTAGAGCTAATTTTTGTTTTTTGTTTTTTGTTTTTGTCTTTTTGAGACAAGGTCTCGCCATGCAGTTCAGACTGGCCTTTGGCTTACTTTGTAGCCCAGGCTGGTTTTGAACTTGGAGGGATGCTCTTGCCTCAACCTCGCCAGTGTTGGAATTCCAGGAGTGCGCCACTATGCTCAGCAATATTGTATGTTTTTAAACTACTTCGTTTTGCTTTTGAAAAGCTACATCAGGCTAGGTGTGGTGGCTGAGGCAGAAGGATTGCCCCAGACTACAAGTCCAGAAAGGCCATTGTGAACTACGCAGCAAGACCTGTCTCAGAAAAACAAAACAAACTACACCAGAAGAATTTGTGTACAAGTATATTCATTGCAGTGATATTTATAAATAGTTAAAAATTACAAACCGCCAACTGCAGCTTCATATAGTGGAAAACCATGCAGGGATAGTAATCATATTTCCTTTTTTTTTTTGTACTGGAAGTCAAAATCAGGACTTTGAGCTTACCTGGCAGGCGCTTGTGCCACTGAGCTATATCCACAGCCCCCATGTTTTCAAGAACTACAAGTAGCTATGTTATAAGAAAATCAAAATGTATGTGCATGGATAGATACATGTATAAAAGAAACACTGAAAGGAAATATACCAAAATGTTAAACATCTTTGGGTGCCAGGATCAGGTGTGATTTTTGTTTTCTTTGTATTTTCTGTATTTTTTTCAGAAGGTTTGCCAAATTTTATAACCAGGAGAAAATTTTATTTATTTTGTTTTTGAGACAGTGTCTTACTGACCCTGAATTCACTATGTAGCCAGGCTGGCCTGGGATTTGAAGTGATCTTTCTGCCTCAGGCTTGCAAGTGCTGTGATTACAGGCATGTGCCATTGTGCCCAGCTAGTTTTATATACACTATGACTGAAAAACTAGCACCGTGTTACAATCATTTTACATCTGATTTTGAGATTGGAGGAAGCCAGGTCTGTTAAAGGCAATGAAAAATATTTATATAAACTATTGTGTCATTAATCAGCTAACGTCTAATAACTGAGTTTTGCATACTCAGTGTCCTCCACATGCAAAGCCTTGGTCCCCAGCTGAGAGCACTGGGAGAAACTTTAGGAGGTGGAGCCTAGTTGGAGGAAGTTAGGTCACTGGCAATTGCCCTTGAAGGGGACACTTGGGTGTTAGTATCTCCTGTCTCTCTACTCCTGAGCTGACCTGGAATGAGCAACTTAGCTCCATGCCACACTCCTTGTCATGCTTTTCTGCCTGTCAAAGGCCCATAGTGGTAGGTTGAAGTGATCATGGACTGAAACCTCTGAAACTGCAAGCTGAAATAAATCTTTGCTCTTTTCAAGTTGTTTTTCTTGGGTGTTTTGTCATAGCAACAGAAAGCTGACTAACATAGATTATTCTTGAAGTACCTGTGTTTAAATTTAAAAATCGGATGGACAAATATGTACTAAATGCTTAAAACATTCATTTGTTTATAGAATGAATTTTAAGTTTTTATGTTCTGAGTACGTTTTAAGTGGGTCGTTTTATCAAAGTTCAGAAAAATAATATTGTTAATATAATTGTGTGTTTTAATGTGTAGTTACACAATGTGTAGTTTAATGTGTATTAATATATATTGATACATATTACATACATAATATGTGTAATTCTGCTTAGTAGTTTTATTTATTTTGGGGGGGGGGCTTTGTTTTGTATTGTTTTGTTGTTTGGTACCAGGACTAGAACTTGGATCTTGCATTTGCCAGGCAGGCACTTGTGCTGCTGAGCTATATCCCTGGCTTGCTTAGTAGATTAATAAAACAAACTACTATGCAGGCATAGATAATAAGTAGGTATCTAATTTCTGAATTATTCTGATGAGTAGATAAGTATTTTCAAACTTCTTTCTAATTTTTTAATATTTACAGTGTTTTCCATTAAATATTTTCAGTCAAAATCTATAATTTCTTATTTGAAGTGTTACTGGTTCCATTGTTTTTTTTTTTTTTTTTTGTCTTTTTCCTTTTTTTATCGGTACCAGGGATCGAACTCACGACTGCCTGTTTGCAAGGCAGGCGCTTATGCCACTGAGCTAAATCCCCAGCCCCACTGATTCCAGTTTTAAATGTAAGTAAAAATATTTAAGTTGGGCTGAGGATTTAGCTCAGTGGTATAAATGCCTGCCTGGTGAGCACAACATCATGAGTTCGATCCCTGGTACAAAAAAAAAGTTATAAACCAACAATTTAGTGTATTTATACTTTTTCTTCCTTTTGCTAGGCAGAAGATGCTGATGAGGCCATGAGTAAATACCTGTTAGAAAAATTAAAATTGAGAGACAGATGGCTTGGAGTTTGGAAGACTAATCCTGAACTATTCTTTGTGGAATATGAAGAAGCTTCTATCCCTTTTGTTGGTATACTGATCGAGGTAAAAAAAATTTTACTTGAGGGGCTGGAGATTTAGCTCAGTGGCATAAGCACCTGCCTTGCAAGCAGGCAGTCATGAGTTAGATCCCTGGTACCGATAAAAAAAAAAAAATTTACTTGATCATTCTGTTTTTGTTTTAATTTTTGAGACAAGAGTTCCATTGTGTACTTCAGGCTGGTCTTGAACTCACTTTGTAGCCCAGACTGGCCTCAGACTCACAGTGATCCTCCTGCCTCAGTGTTTCAAGTGCTGGGATTACAAGCACGTGCCACTATGCCTGGTCTGATTCATTCTTTGAATGAAATTATCAGTTCTTTTAAAGACTGAAATATGGCTTTATTAACTTGGGACTTTGATACTTACCAAGTTTCAAACAGAAAAAAAAAATTATTTCTGGTCTAGGTAAATTAATAATGTAGGCTCTTAGCATCCATTTATGTGTAGACAGTTGTCATTTAATGGAATCTAGAATACCAGACTATTTTTAACCTAGATTCATTTACTGCAAAAACAGCAAAAATTCATTTCTTGGAAAATCAGTAATTTAAGCTTTAACAAATTTGGGCCATGATTTTCCATTCATCTTCATTTATCTGAATTATGAGGTTTAGTTCAGATGAGGAAAGAGCAATGACTAAAAAAATATTGGCAAAATATGAAAGTTTTTCCTTTGAAAAGGATGCTTGTAATCAATTTCTAAGCTTTCATTTAATTTGTTGCTTTTTAGATCTGTAAACTAGATATTGTGAAATATTCAATATTATAATTTTAGTTCCTTTAAAGGCCAATTACCATTGTAGTGAAAGTTATATTTATGATCACCACTGTACCCTGCTCCAGATGGATATCTCAAATCTACTTTTAGTCACAAGAAAAACTTTGTCACTTATTACTTCATGCAATACTTGAAAATATTTCAAAATTATATGTTCTAGAGAAGTTAGTGGCAGTCTCATATATGAAGAATACATCTAAAGGTATAGAGATTACAAAAGAATATAAAAGAATCTTCAGTTAGTTAATTTTCCAACAGTACTATATATATGTATATATACTGGTAGATAGATTTACTCTTCAGAGTTTGAGTAGCTTTTCCCTGAATCATTTATAGCATCTCTGAACTTTTTCGTTTGAATAAGATAAGAGAAACTACACTATATTAGTGACTTTAACATTTTTTAGTGGCGTAAGCTTGGGGTTTTTCCAAGTACCAAGAAAAAAAAAATTCCACAAAGTATTCCAGAGGTCTGTAGCCAGGAAATTTGAGAATAGTGGGCCCAAGAAAAGGTTCCCAAAATTCCAGAGAAAAAAGAGGTTGCATTTTTCTTTTTTTATCGGTGCATTTTAGATATGTATAATAATAGCTTTCATCATAGGGAATTTGTACCTGTACGTGATACATCTTTTTTCCCATTCCCAACATGCATTTAAATACTGAATAAAAGTAATTTTAGAATATAAGCCTATCAACTTTTATAACTACTTTTTGGATATATATTTTTGTTATGTTACAAATATGGACTGTTGGTCATTTATTGTCTTCAAACATTCACTTTTATTTTGCTGTTTTATAAGTTTTTCCTATTACATAGTTACTTTGAACAGAATTTATTTTAAATTGATTATAAAATTTGTATTTCAAAGTTTGGATAGTATTTGAAGATCCTTTCTACATTTAAGTAATTGATTACTGTCATATCCATTACTGACATAACACTTAGCAAGTGAGTTTATTTCATCAATAAATGATGGCTTCAGCATAGATTTTCACACCATTACTAGAGATATATTTCAATATTGTGAAATAAGATGAGCAAATATGATATAGTATGTTGCTTATGACACTAACTTTATTCAAAGATTTTTAAAATGTTTTTTTTTTGTCTTTTTCGTATTTTTATTGGTACCAGGGATCGAACTCACGACTGCCTGCTTGCAAGGCAGGTGCTTATGCCGCTGAGCTAAATCCCCAGCCTCCTTAAAATGTTATACTTACCTTTTTTTTCATTTTGGGTGGCTTTTTACAATATATAATACATTATGTAATATACATAATATAAATAACAAATATATAGAATCCAGGGCCTTACACAGGCAAGCAATCTACCACTAAGTTACATTGCAAGCCCTTTTTTTTAAAAAATTTATTTTTTTAATTTTATTTAAGGAGAAAAGAAAAAAAAAAGCAGGGAAAGGGTACAAGTTATACAGATTTACAGAAAAAAAAATGAACAGTAGGAAATCACTAGTTAATGGATTACATATTGTCATCTTAGAAATAATTGTTCAAGTCACAAAATTAAAGCTTGTAAAGTGGACATTCCATCAATGATACTGCAAACAGTTCTGTTCATTGATCCAATAAAACTCTGTGATATCATTTTCTATCTTATACATTTAAATATACATGCAGTTATATAGTTTGGAGCACTTTCTTTTCCTCTCTTTTGTACCATGACTATTACACATTTTGGGTTTCATTGCTCCCATGGTTCTTATTACTTTTTTGGAAGAGAGTAAAACCAAATGTGACATAACAGAACAGAATCGGTCAAGTCAAAAGGGGGGACATAATAGATAATGTAAAAACATAATACAAGGTGATCAACAATGGTTACCATAATGCCTCCCGCTATCTCTAATAGAATTGCCTATATCGTTAGTTATAATACAATTGAACAAAACAGTAAAGAATAAAACTGACAAAACCAAAACATTGGAGACATTGTAGGTCTTCAAAAGTAGATAAAAGTCAACGAGAATGGGCGTCATAATGAATCTCATTATCTTCATAGCTGATGCCTAAACTTTCGAACCTGATACTATCCAGCAAAACAGAATAGGGGAACATCAGTCAAAAACCAGATGGTGAGAGTAATACAGGGCTTTAAATCAAGGTAATAAAAAGTCAAAGTGGGTTACTATAATATATCCTGCTATTTTTTTCCTTTAATTAAAAGGATAAAGATAAAAAAGTAAATAATGGAGTGGAGATTGAGATAAAAGAGGGCATAACAACGAAACAGCGCAGATCAAAACATAACCATTTAAGCAGAGTAGTGTTTCACCACCAGATAATCCTAACCTAAAAGTAGTTACCATATTGTCTCTTTCTTTGAAATCCTTGAGTACAACTTCGTATACTGTAGCATTAAGTATATCAAAACAATGTAAAACCATTCAAGAGAATGACAGCATTACAGAGTATTTAGAATCGACTAACAGAAAATGAACAATGGTTTCTGTATAATCTCCTTGTCTTTAAAAGGTTTTTGCTTATACTATCGTACATAATAAAATCCAATAAGATACAGCCTATTTAGACCATTGGAGACAGAAGGACAAAAGCTAGATGAGACTTCAAAACTAGATGATACTAAATCAGTATTACCTATTAAGATGTCATTTTCTCCAAAATAGCTGTTCCTATCATCCAATCTTCTCTGCCTCATTTCTGTTGAGCTCTTTTTCTGTCAGTAGCTGTCAGTTTGTCTTCTTCATTTTGTTCTCTGCTCCATTCGTTGTGGCCTCTCTGCCATTATTTCTGGATTCTTTGTATTTTTCTTTTTTTAGAATATCCTGCAATACTCTCTGTAGAGTTGAATTGGTGGTTGCAAATTCCCCCAGTTCCTCTTTATCCTGGAAGCACCTTGTTTTTCCATCAATTTCCAGGGACAGTTGTGCAGGATATCTCAAACTTGGCTGGAGATTATTATCTTTCAAAGCTTGAATTATTTCCCCCCACGCTCTTCGTGATTTGATGGTTTGTGCAGAGAAATCTGTTGTAATTCTGATGGGTGTTCCCTTGTAAGTGGTCTGTTTCTTGTCTCTGACAGCTTTTAATATTCTGTTCTTGTATTGAATTTCTGGAATTTTGATTATTATATGCCTGGGTGTAGCTCTGTTTGGGTTGTAGGTAGCTGGGGTCCTGTATGCCTCATACATCTGAGTATCTTTACCTTTTGCTAAATTAGGAAAATTCTCCTGGATTATTTCTGTGAGTAGCTTTTGTAGTTCACTTGTTTGTGTCCCTACTTCTTCTTTTATGTTCTTAATCCTTAAGTTATGGATCCTCTTATCATCTTCTTGTCTTTGTATTATTGCTGTTTGTTTCTTTGTTATTTTTAAGAAGTTTTTCATTTCATTCTCCCATATTACAAGTCTGCCCTCCAGTTCAGATAGTCTGTCCTTAGTTTCTTTCAAGCTGTTATGCCAGTCTTCGATAGACTTCTTAGTATCTTGGTAGTCCCTTTGAACCTGCTTCACGTATTCTATGCTTTCTCTGTTTTCTCCATCAAACAATTCTCCCCTTTTTTTCTGTTCTTCCATTCCACCACCTGTTTTTTTCTTGGGTGGTACTTAGCATTTCTCTAACTATTCTGCATACTTCTAGCTTCAGGTCGTTGATAACTTCATTCCTGAATTGGTCTATGAGGCTCTCTATATGGCGCCTTATGTGTATTGGTGCGGTGTCTGCTATTGCCTGTTTCTCAGAATTGGGGGCCGAGGAGCCTTTCTTGTTGCTGCCTCTTCCCATGCTGCCTCTTCTTCTCTGTTCCTTATATATGCAAGCTTATATAAGAGGCCCAGCTTCTCTCCCAGTCAGCCACAGCCTGATCAAATTGTGCCAGTTAGGTGTTCCCGCTCACTGCTGCGCACCAGGGAGTTACGGACCAGGCAGCCTACGCGTCTCCCCTCCTGGCCACTGTCAGGCTCTGGGATCTGGGTTGGGACAGCCTACCAGGTCCGCCGGCAGCGTCACGCAGGCCAGGCACTTTTCACCAATCCCGCCCGAGAGGGGGATGTGTGGCTGGAGTCGCCACCGTGCCCTGCTCCCGCAGGACTGCTCGGGCCCAGAAAGTCCTCTGCTGGAGTCAAACTGTGGTAGAAAGTCAGTTTCTCTCACTCACCTCACCACAAGTCAGTGCACACCTCCCTGCCGTTCGCAGATTGCCGTTCTCAGAGCTTCTGCGTGTCTCTCTCCTTGCTGAGCCACTGTAGAGGCAGCCAGCCGCCGCGTGGAGGGAAACCCAAATGGCGGCTTACAATGGCGCGGAGTCCAGCCTCCACACCGAGGCTTTTCTGTTCCTGTTCTAGCACCAGGACTGCATTCCAAGTTGGTTTCTCTCAGCCCAGTTCGTTCCTGAGTCAGCAGAGCATATCTCCACCTGCTTATGTCTCCTTAGTCCGCACCATTCCTGGCTTCTGAGCCGAGTCTTTCAGAGAGCCTCTGGTAGTTGCTGTTATCTGTCCGCCATGTTCTCCCGGAAGTCGCAAGCCCTTTTTATTTTATTTTGAGAGTGTCTCACTAAGTTGCACAGGCTGGGCTTGAACTTTCGATCTTCTTGGCTCAGTCTCGTTTGTTAAAATATTTTTTAAAAATATTACTATCCTATGAAAATCAAAGGTCTGGTTCCTTGGGGGGCGTGGTGGCACATACCTGTATTCCTTGCATTCTGGGACTCTGAGGCAGGAGGATTGCAAAAATGGAGCTCAGCCTGGGCAGCTTAGCAGTTTAGTAAGACCTCATCTCAAAATACAAAATAAAAATAGGGAGTATAACTCAGTGGGGAGGCCCTGGGTTAAAACCCCAGGGCCACAAGTATGACTACTCAAACTTAGAAATACAGTGTGTAATGTAGAAGGAGATACACAATTCCTTTTGGGAATATTAAAACTTGTTTGAGAAGTAGAGTTCAAAAACCTAGTGATATTTTATGGGCTATTTATGCAAGTCATTCTCTGTATTGATTGTTAGAGAACTCAAAAAATTAAACTTTATAATTCATATATAAGAAAAATCCTTGTGGTTTGCTTATATTTGGTACTATAATTTTTAATATTTGTTTTAGGTAACTTGTAAACCATACCAGAATTCATCGTCTTGTTTTGAAGTTACCGTTTCTGTTGCTGAGCCTTTTTCTTCTAACATTGCAAACATTCCAAGGGATTTGGTTGATGGGGTTTTGGAGGAACTGGAGCACGGTGTACCTCTCTTGGAAGTGTATCCCATTGAAGGACAAGATGCAGAGATATGGGAAATTGCTCTGGCCTTGGAGGTTGTAAGGTGAAAAAAGCTTTCTAATTCTGCAAGTTAAAATTACTATATTCAAAAATATACACTTATCAGCTGAGTGTGGTGGCTTACACCTGTAATCCCAGCACTCGGGAGGCTGAGGCGGGAGGATCCTTGCAAGTTTGAGGCCAGCTTGGGCTACGGAGTGAGCTCAAGGCCAGCCTGAACTGCATAGCAAGACCCCGTCTCAAAGACGAAAAACCCACAAAAAGCAAAAAACAAAAATACGCTTAATCTGTAAGTTTTGCTAGTATAAGCACTTTATAAGTATCTGTAATTTTTATTCTTTGATTGATAAATTTGCTCATTGTAATTAACATAATGTATTTGTAACTCTTCCAGTTAACATTTCGTTGCAGAAGTACTGTATAAGTAATGGAAAATTTGCTATTTTTTTATCTGCATTTTATAAAAACTGAGTTTAAAAGAATATCAGAAATAAGTAACATTAAAATCTGTTGATATTTAAGCATCTTTAATATATTAGGTTTTACTTTACTAAATGGGTTTTATAAATACTGGATGTCATCATCCGCATTGTATTTTTTTGTTTGCTTTTTAAGATGGGATCTCACTGGCCTCAAAATCACAGTTCTTTTGACCCAGCTTCTCAGATATCTGTAATGACAGGCATGCAGCACTGTGCGCAGTCCATAGCTTACTATAAGTTTATAAAGTGGGAAAGCTATTGATCAACTGAATACAGAATAATTTTTGGCTTTTGTTGTTATTTCTCTCTCCCTAAATACAAATTTTGTTATATATCACATATTTCTTTATTGAATGAAATCATAGTCAAAATCCATGAAGTTTAGATTTTTTGGGGGGGAGGGGGTACTAGGGGTTGAACTCTCAACCTTGCGCTTGCCAGGCAGGCATTTGTGCCTGCTGAGCTAAATCCCTGGCTAATCCATGAAGTTTAGAACCTGAGTTTTAAACTCCCACTTCTAGAAGTATTATTTTCTTATATGCAGTAGTCAAAGATAGCATCCAGATCATCTACTCTTTAAAGCTTTACCTGTTATTATTAGTTTACTGAAAGTTCAGTTAAAAACACTTTTCTTAAGAGTTAAGATCCAGGGCTGGGGATTTAGCTCAGCAGCATAAGTGCCTGCCTTGGGAGCACTTGATCGTGAGTTTGATCCTTAGTACTGATAAAAAATAAATAAAGAGTTAAGATCCATGTAGAAAATTCTGATATCAAAATATCTTAAATTCTAAACACTGTCTTAGGCTGTCTTTGATTGCTGTCATCTTCATTTGATTTATTGTAGGTTTTTTTATGATTTTCTTTGGAGAGATTGGGATGACGAAGAAAATTGTGAGAATTACTCTGCGCTTATTGAAGAAAGAATTAATCTGTGAGTACAGTTTAGAAAGCTGTGCAGCACATTGTAAAGGAGAAATATGGTAACCGCCTGGGTCCTTTCCAGGTGGTGTGACATACAGGATGGAACCATACCTGCTCCGATTGCACAGCGCTTTAAGAAGACTTTGGAGAAATATAAGAAGAAGCGTGTTGAGCTCATTGAGTATCAGAACAATATTAAAGAAGATCCATCTGCAGCAGAGGCTGTCGAATGCTGGAAAAAATACTATGAAATAGTAATGCTTTGTGGATTATTGAAAATGTGGGAGGATTTACGCCTTCGGTAAGAATTTGCTGTATTTTAAATAGAAACAAAAGACTCTACAGTCATTCTTTAAGCACCATGTATATTGTCTTCATCAAAACAGACTATAAAATTAGATGTCTAATTTATGGATTAAGCATAAAGTATAATTATAAATATGGGAAAATTATTTTTATATTAGCTGAATTCATTGATGTCATTTGCTTTTGTACTGATGTCATTTTTACCAAAAACTCATAAATCTAGCTGTTATCTTTCATCTTTGCCTTTTTGATTTTGTTTAAAGGATAAGAAAGGAGGAGATATGCGTATACCTTCTGCATATAATATATGAAGTAAATAAGGGAGAATTGATTAATTTGGCTATCTCATATCAGTTTCTCCAACCAAAATAAGCTGTTTTGATGATAAATGAAACAATACAGAATTAATCACTATCATTCTCTAAATACTTAAAAATGTGTGAAAATATTTTATACTGTTTCGCAGTGAAAAATGTATGTACTTCTGTCTTTTTTTTAACATATGGAGAAACAGAATTCTTGTTCACAGTCTGACTGGCAGACAATCTTGAATGGAGCCAGAGGAACTAGTCTGTGCAATCTCTTTCTATCCATCTTAGTGTATTTGCTGCCCTTAGGAATTTTGAACCACTGATAGCATAAATCTTTTGTTTTTTTCTCCAAATTTGACCTATTTTTGATTACTAGTAATCCCATTCCAGTACCTATTTTCGATACATCATTGCTTGTGGGATTCCTATAATGAATCTTGTGATAATTCAGGGAAAGAAACACAGATTTTAAAATTCCACTTACCTAGGAATCCATAAATTTAGTAAACATTAGATTTGAATACAAGTTATGGTCACTAGACTTCATATGGCATAGAACAAAGATGTCTCTCATTTTAAAATTTATAATCTAGCTGTGTGCAGTGACACACAAGAGGCTTGAGGCAGGAGGATCACTGTGAGTTCAAGCCCAGCCTAAATTGCAGAACAAGGCCTTGTCTCAAAACGCCAAAACAAACACCAAAACCTTATATTTACAGATTAGGTTCAGGAACTATGAAATGAATGGGTTGGTCAAACATGGCCAGTAGCTAACAGTTATAAAACTTGGACAAAATATATTAAGAGTAGCTGACTCTTGGAAGAAGCTGTAAAGTGACCAAGGAAATAATGAAGTTTTTCTTTGAAAGCGATTCATCCTTGGACTGGGCAAGAAATAGGAATTTGTAACTCTTTGGTCTAAAAATGATCCCAGTTGTTTTCAGCTCTGGCAGCAAAAGATAATACTGTTACTGTTTCAAGATGACAAAGGACAAAGTGGCTAGCAGTTTAGGAAAGCTATCCTGAAAGAGAGCTACAAAAAGCTGAGGTCCAGGATCAGAGCTTAAACCCTACCTAGGTCCTTTGCTGAAAAAGTAGAACTGATTAGAAGTGCTGAATGGCAAATAAGATAAAAAACAGTTCTGAGAAGTTAGACTAATTTGTCTAGGAGCACAATAGCTAACTATTTTACAGAGACCATATCCTTTGAAATCTATTAATTGAACATAGTATTTAAAATTAAATATGTCCCAAAACTTGATCATGCTTTAGTGTCACAGAATATAACTCATTTCTGTTTTGTGTAAGTTTACAACTCAGTGGATTATGAAATTACAATGAAGAAAATTGCCTGTTGTATTGGAAAATAGAGGCGGATGAGGTGCTGGTGGTGAGTTACATGCAGATTTCCAGGTACAGTTCATTAAAAAAAAAGATTTGAAGGCATAAACAGTTGTCTAGAAGATCTTATTACCGTGTTGCTCTCAAGCTGTTCATTGCCCTCAAACAGCTTACAATTAATGAAACCTCTTTCTAGAAGATGCTTAGTATCAAGTTTTTAAGGATAGATTGAATGTTTGCTTATGTTAATTTAATCACAAATAAATATTTTTAATCATAGAGTTCATGGGCCTTTTTTCCCAAGAATTCTGCGACGTAGGAAAGGAAAAAGAGACTTTGAGAAGACAGTAACACATATTGTAGCAAAATTGATGACTACTGAAATGGTAAGAAATAAATTTTGTTTGTTTAGGTTTTTGGCTGCATGTAATTAGAAAAGGAACTCCCTGAAGGTAGAGTCTGACTTAGTCTTACTTCCTGTATTTTACCCAGCTCAATGGTTGGCATATAGATAATAAATAAATGTTGACAAATATTTACTGAATCATACCTTGTTGGCAGGTACTATTCTAGTTGCCATGGTAACAGTGAGACATAGATGGGAGAGATGCTGCATTTGGGGGACATATGGTATTGCACCTGATCCACTCTTTATTCTTCATATATTTGACAGTTTTCAAGGACTATATAGTGGAGATGTGGTCAGGTAAATTAGCAACCACAGTTGTAAGGATGATAAATGCTCTCCCCTTGTCTCCCTTCCCTCTCTGTGGGTTTGTGGGTGATTATCTCCCAAAAGCAAGAGATTCTGGAGGATATCTTGTCTCTCTGCAGAGAAGGAGGAGAGAGAAAGGATAAGGAGTCCCTCACTCTTACTGAGATTAGGCAAATGTGTGGAATGTGGGAAGCAGTGCAAATCTTACAGAAAAGACCCACCCAAATAGCAGTGCAATCAGTGAATCTGTTTAGTGACAATCCATGTTGCATTTCCACAAAATCCTCAAAAGGAGTCAAAAGCAAGCATCATTGGATAGGTTCCTTGTCAAAACTGCATGAAAACAGGAAGATTCTGACTGGGCATAATCCCAGCACTCAGGAGGCTGAGGCAGGAAGAGTGCTGCCAGTTCAAGACTATGTAGTGAGCCCAAGGACAGTCTAAACTACACAGCAAGATCCCATCTCAAAAAAGAATTCTGTCGAGCCAATAGATAGCAACAATTCTGTTAGTGATAGTCAACTATCCTACACAATAACCTTCCCCTCTCTTATCCCCCCGCACACCAGCCACAGAGCTTTTCAAAAGTAAGTGCAGGTTAACTTTTTTCTTCCAAAAATCCATTTTATTTCAAAGAGAAAAATAAAATTTCAAAACAACAATCAAAAAACAACAATGTAATTTTTTCTTTTATGTTTTGTCTTTTTATTTTTTCATTTTGATAAACAAGTGCTTGGGATTACAAGCATGTTTCTGGAATGAATTATTCTCACAAACCAAGGTTTTACAGTACTTATCATCCAAAATGTACATAGCAGACTTATTCTCAGCCCCATGCCTGAAGGTCCAACTGCTTATTGCTCATCACCACTTCACTGTCTCCAGAGTACTTCACCTCACACATGTGTCAATAAATTCATGGTCCTATCCATTGACTGACCTGTATTCTAGACTTTGCTGTTTTAGTAAATGGCACCATCGCATAGTCAGTGGCTAATGACAATTTTCTTGGATCATATTAATATCCCTTTATTGCTCTCCTACACCTGCTTTCTCCTGTTCTAGCACTATGTCCTTGTATGAGCTGTATTGTTTCCTTTGTGTGTTGTCACTGCCCTCCATCAAATTTCAGTTTAAGTAACATTTCCACAGGGAAGACCTTCTCAACCCCCCAGAATGCTTCAGATTTCTGTGTACATTTATAGCTTCTTTCTTGGCATTTTTCTTCCCTGACACTTTTCCTTATCATGACAGTAATAATAATTTTTGTGTTTGAATGAATGTTTTGAATGTTTGTCTCTTCCTGAATATGAGTTCTCTGAGAGCAAAGACATTTGTATTTACTGCTCATCCAGTCACCAGGCATGATGCTTAGCAGATGGTAGGCACCCCACAGTTTTCGTTGATAAGTGAGTGGATGTGTGACAGATCAGTACATATGAAGGACTAAAGGAAGTCCCCCAAAGCGGTGTTTAACACCTAAAAGGAGAGAGTGAGACAGAAAGCAAGCTTATTTGAGTGGTGTCTGCCATGTGACCCACCCCTATTTCTGTTATTTTCACAAAGCCTGTTTACTCTCCCTCTCTTCTCCCTTCTGGGCTAAGGATTCAGCCCCAGGACTTGTACTGTACATGCTAAGCTAGCACCCTAGTACTGAGCCACATCCCCAGCCCTAAGATTTTTAATGTCTCATTGAGTCAGATTATGTTAATAAGATTAATTATCCCAAACATATTTATAAACATCCATTAAAACTTCTTTGTAAGAAGTATAAACCGGGCATGGTGGCACACTCCTGTAATCCCAGCACTTGGGAGGCTGAGGCAGGCAGCTCCTTGCAAGTTCGAGACCAGCCTGGGCTACAAATGAGCCCGAGGCCAGCCTGAACCAATAGAGAGACCCTGTCTCGAAAAGACAAAAATAAATAAATAAATAAAACCTCTTTGTAAGAAGTATAGATTTTGCTTTTATCATTTTTATTTTTCTCTCTTGTTTTTGTTTTAAAATGAGGACTGGCTTTATTATCTTAATTTTCCTGCAGTATGAAAGTAAGAAATTTCTTTGATTTTTATCCAAAGCTGGTTTTGCAATTCTGTCTTCATTTCTAAGTAAGTATCCCTAAATTACTGTGAGAAGGAAGCATTATCAAATGCAACTTTACTTAAACCTTTAATTTTAGATTTACCTTTGAGGTTGACAAAATATTTTAGTTTGATAGTTATCATAGCTATACATATCGCCTTTAATAACTTTCACAACTTTGAAGGCTCTTTCTTCTCAGTTTTGCTCAGTGCTCTCCTCTTAAACTGTTTCACCCACACCCAACATATTTATGTTGGGGTTATTACAAGTTGTTAGTGGAAAACATGAACTTTGCATCCAATCTAGTGTTCCAGTAACCTCTCAAGGGCCAGTTAATGTCAGTGTGACTTTAGGCAGGCTGTGTAAACTCCAGTTTCCTTATTTGAAAGGTGTTTAAAAAGAGACAGATAAAAATTACATGTATTGTGATAGAACTGTGGGGGACCGGCAGCAGCTGAAAAGATAAGAAGTATGAAATATAAATGACCTTTCTTTTGAGAATGCAGGGAGAGACACCCTCACTCCCCTGGGGCGCAGCATCCACCCCCACCTTCCCCCACCCCACCCCCACCCCCACCCCTGTCGGGAGTCTCTCCGTGGAACGCGTGAAGTAGGGGCATACATGTAGCTTAGGTTGGGGGTGGTGCCTGAGGGGCATTAAGGAAGCACAGGTAGCCCATTGGTATTCTTTTGGCGCCAGAGGTAAATTCCTAGGGGTGGGGAAGATACAGTGTTGGGGGGCGCGCCTGGGGATTTAGCTCAGCGGCATAAGCGCCTGCCTTGCAAGCAGGCAGTCATGAGTTCGATCCCTGGTACCGATAAAAAAGACAAAAAAAAAAAACAAAAAACATACAGTCACAGGTGAATTCCTAGGGGTGGGGGAGATAGGAGCTCCTTGGTTCCGCCTAAGGCTACAGTGTCCCGTCTGGGCCAAAACTCTTTCATATTGTGCTGGTTGAGAGCATGGGCTCTAAATCCAAACTGCCTGGATTCATGGTTTTGCCACTTACTATGTATGTAATTTTCAAGAAGTTATTTAATGCATTTGTGCTTTAGCACCTCACATATAAAATGGGTATAATTGCACTATGGTCCATATTTATAGAGTTGTAAAGTGACTTCATATCTGTAATATATTTAGAAAAAAGCTTAGGACGTTGTAAATGCTCAGTAAGTGTTTGCTACTTATCCCGGTGTGTGAACTGGCTGCACATGTGTCATTCTCCCCAGTTGGGGAGAAAATGTGGTGTCTACATTGCTCATTGCAGGCTTCTGTGGTGGTCCTCCTGTAAGTCTGGAGACCATGCTAGTGAAAAACAGAGTCACTGTCTTTTTTTAAACACCTCACTATGTTGATCCACCTCAGCCTCCAGAGTAACTGGAATTACAAGTGTGCACCACCATGCTCAGCTATGCATAAATTGCAGAATTAGCTGGGTGTGGTAGCACATGCCTATAATTCTGGAGGATTGCTGCGAGTTCCAGGCCAGCCTGGGCTACATAGTGTGCTCAAAGCCAGCCTGCACTACAAAGTGAAAGCCAATATCAAAGCAAAATAAAGCACAAAAAATAAATTATAAAAATCTGAGTTTGGTTTACCATTTTGCTTCTTAATATTTGTATTTCCAAGTCTGTACAAGAGAGTAATGAAATCTATCCCATAGAGTGTTCAGCTTAACTAATTTATATAAAGCTTTTAACAAAATGCCTCCCACATTGCTGTCAGATTTCCTTATAGTGCTACAAAATGTAGTAACTGAAAATAAAGCAAGTGGGAAGAATTATTTAACCAGTTCTCTTCCATCTGTATCCACCCTCTTGCTTCCTATCTCCTCAGTTACATTGTTCCTGGTTGTTCCTTCTCTTTCTTGAATCTTTTTTCCCTTTTTAGAAACAAGGATGAAATTTACCTGCAAAACTAAACCTCTGAAAGTGAATAATTTAAAAAGTGGGCAATTTAAGGGCATTTAATACATTTACCATGTTGTGTAACCAAACATTTGTATCATCCTGTAATAAACTCTATACCCTTCCTACGTTTTTTTTGCCAGCCCCTGATTACCACCAGTCTGCTATATCTGTGGATTCAACTATTCTGGGTAATTCAGATAGATGAAATCATACAATAAGTGAACGTTTACATATAGCTTCTTGGTTTTTGTTTGTTTGTTTTGCTTTTTTCTGGTACTGGGGATCGAACTCAGAACCTCATGCTTGCCAGGCAGGCACTTATGCTGCTGAGTTAAATCCCCAGCTCCTCATATAGCTTCTTTAGCGTAGCACATTTTGAAGTTTCATCCCCCGCATGTTATGTACCAGTATTGCACTTCCATTTTTTATGGCTGAATGGTGTTGCATTGCATGTATATTTATCTATTTATTTATCCACTCGTCAATTGATGAGTATTTGTTTTTACCTTCCATTTATTTATTTGCAGTGCTGAGGATTGATTCCATGATCTGCCACATGCTAGGCAAGGGCTTTACATAAGCTACAGCCCCAGCCCGTGTTTCCACTTTGTGACTGTTGTGAGAGTGCTGATTAAGAACATTTGTGTATGTGCTGGTGTTTGTTTCACTGTCTGTTTCAGTTCTTTTAAGTGTATACCTCAGTATACCTTAAGTGGATTTACTGCACCATGTGGTGATTCTATGCTATCTGTGCTAACTTTATGAAGAACCATTAACGTGCTGCTGGGGCCAAGCCATTTACATTGTCATCTGCAGTGTCTCAGGTTCTAATCTCCCCAGGCTTCACACAGTGGTTATGAACTTTTTTATTTTAGTTTTAGTGGATGGAAAGTGCTATCTCCTTTTGGTTTTGATTTTTTTATTTCCATAGTGATTAGTGATATTGAACATCCTTTCACATACTTGTTGGCCATTTGTATATCTTCTTTAGAGCAGTGACTATTCAAGTCATCTGCCCATTTTTAACTGGATTGTCTTCCTATTCCTTGTTGGTTGGTGCTGTACTTTTCTTGTCTTTTTTTTTTTTTTGTATCGGGGATCGAACTTGCAACCTCAGGGCTGGGGATTTAGCTCAGCGGCATAAGCACCTGCCTTGCAAGCAGGTGGTCGTGAGTTCGATCCCTGGTACCGATAAAAATGAAAAAGACCAAAAAGAAAAAAAAAAAAAAAAAAAGAACTTGCAACCTCGCGCTTGCTGGGCAGGCACTTATGCCACTGAGCTAAATTCCTAGCTCTGTGCTGTACTTTTCTTTCTTTTTTTTTTTTTTTTTTTTTGTCTTTTTCCCTTTTTATCGGTACTGGGGATTGAACTCATGACTGCCTGCTTGCAAGGCAGGCGCTTATGCCACTGAGCTAAATCCCCAGCCCCATGTGCTGTACTTTTCTTAGATGTGTGATTTCTAAGTATGTTCTCCCATTCTATTGATTGTCTTAACTTTCTTCATGTTACCCTTTGATGCGCACAGATACCTGGTTATAAAGAAATCCAGCCTATCTTTTTACTCATGTCATACATAAGAGTTTTTTGCCAAATCCAAGGTCATAAAGATTTATCCTCATGTTTTCTTCTGGATTTTTATGGCGTTAGGTTTGGCACTGAATAGCTATAAAATTAATTATTATAAGAAGAATTTTATTTCATCATTCCCCTAATTGACACAAGTGACACTAAATACATAAGTAAGTGTTTGGATAATATCATGTGTCCAGTAAGCGTCTTTAAGTAAAATGTCATGTTTCAGTTTAAGCTATTGTGTAAGATGTGCCACTGTATTTTTTTTCTAGGTAAAGGATTTGTCTTCAGACACACTTCTCCAGCAGCATGATGATTTGGATTTGGCTTTGGATAGTTGTTACAGTGGAGATACAATAGTTATTTTTCCAGGAGAATATCAATCTGCAAATATTGCCTTACTGACTGATGACATCATTATAAAGGGTTAGCAGGTTACTTTTTGTAGCTTTTTTCCAGAAATATGTACTGAACTGTGTATTATAAGTATTATTATAAGTATGCCTAATGACATTTTTAGACAGTAGAAGTTTATATTTCATAATCTGTATGCACCTTTCATAGATAATATCTGTGCATAATCATATTTTCCACAGCTCCATGTATATTTTTTACCAAAACTTTTTTCTCATCTATTTCTACTGCTCTTGATACCACTTAAGAATGAAGACTCAGATAGAGAACTATATTAAAATATACTCAGAATTTTTTCAAAAGTCTAATTCACCAAATAAACATAGAAAAAGAAAAATGTATTAAATTACTTTTAGGTTCGGAATATACTTAATAACTTTGATTTTGATTTTGTCCTTTTAACTTTGAAATAAGGGCATTCTCATTGACCAAAAAGCAGCAGCAATAAGAAAAAAAACCAGCTAATTATCAATTGAAAATTCAAACAAAGTATTCACTGTATCATGGTAGTTATAATGAATAGTACTTTGCTGAACTACATCTGTGATAAGGATGATGCATATGATTTAAACATCTGCACCATGTTTGATGTTAAATTTAGATAACTGCTTTGACTATGCTAGAGCAAAATTATTGGTCTGATTATGTTAATCTAAGTTAAGAATCTCTGCTAGTCTTTTTGTTTTGTTTTGTTTTTGGTCTTTTTGAGACAGAGTATCTCTATGCGGTTCAGGCTGGCCTGGAGCTCACTTTGTAGCCCAGGCTGGTCTCAAATGCACAACAGTTCTCCTGTCTCGGTCTCCTGAATTTTGAGGTTCCAGGTGTGCACCACCACACTTACTTTGCTAGTGTTTTTTTGTGTGTGTCTTTTTCCTTTTCATCGGTACCAGGGATCAAACTCACGACTGCCTGCTTGCAAGGCACGCGCTTATGCCGCTGAGCTAAATCCCCAGCCCTGCTAGTCTTTTTTTATTAATGATAATTACAGTTTTTAAACTAGACTAAGGTATGGTATATGTTTGTATCATAGATATTTTGTACATGACTGCTGCTTACAAGATATAGGGAAATATTTAGTGGAATGACTATGTTGAATAAATACTATAGGTACATTTAGACTGATTATATTTTATTTATTTATTTATTGGTACTGGGGATTAAACTCACAACCTTGCACTTGCCAGGCAGATGCTTATGCCACTGAACTAAATCCCCAGCCCCATTTAAACTGATTATAAACTCAGATTTTTTTCATCATAGCTTCAAGATAAGGAAAAAATTTAGATTAGTTAAATATTTACTTAGTTCATAATGAAACAGTTGTTACATTATGTATTATATATTGTTAAATGTATAAAATTATAATATAGTTAAAAATATATGAAAGGAAAAAATGATACTAACAAGTATTATTGAATAATTAAAGAGCTTTGAAACTTGGGATTATTGATTTGTGCTTTTTATCCTCTGTATCAGGAGTTGGAAGGAGAGAGGAAATTATGATTACTTCCAAACCTTCTCATGACAGTTTTGTGGTGTCCAAAGCTGACAGTGTGAAACTAATGAATCTGTCTTTGATACAACAAGGAACAGTTGATGGTATTGTGGTGGTAGAGTCTGGTCACATGACTCTAGAAAACTGTGTGTTAAGATGTGAAGGAACAGGAGTGTGTGTCCTTACAGGGGCTACTTTGACAATTACAGACAGTGAGATAACTGGTGCCCAGGTATTTCATTCTATAAAATCTATGGGTTTCCAAGACTATAGCTAACAACTGAGTGAATTGAACATACAAAAGGATAATAATACCTTCATTTGGAAATATACTTCAGCTTAGCAACTGCTAAAATTGAGAAAATAAAGAGCAGGAACCTGATCTTAAGATAAAGGAACAAGTTGAGAGTATTAAAAATGTTTAAAAATTATCCGTCTTTTAAAAAACAACACTGGGGGGCTGGAGGTTTAGCCCAGCGGCATACGCGCCTGCCTTGCAAGCAGGCAGTCGTGAGTTCGATCCCCGGTACCGATAAAAAGGAAAAAGACCAAAAAAAAAAAACCACTGGGTTCATACCTGTAAAATGGGCCAGTGCACTCTTGGGGGCAGACCACCTGTCTTGGCCTCTCAAGAGAAGCATAAATGTTCCCAGCTCCAGAAAGTAAGTGCCTCTTTCTCTCTTAAAGGCCTGTACTCTATCCCTTTTCAGTGTGTACTTTTAAATTTCTGTCTAATCCCTTTATAACTCTCTTTAAAAAACTGGTAGAAATCAACAGTGTGTCATTAACCACATAGGAAGAATGAACTATGTAAGTATTCCAATGAAGAAGTTAGCTTTACTTGTAATTTTAAAAAAATTAGCAATCAGATTGTGAATCAAGGTTTAGTGATTTATTTTTAAAGAAATAAGTACTTATAAGCTATCTGGCATTGCTTGTAAGATACTGTGATTAGTTCTGACTTTTTTTTTTTTTTTTGGGTATGGGGATTAAACTCACAACCTTGTGCTTGGTAGGCAGGTGCTTATGCCACTGAGCTAAATTCCCAGCCAGTTCTGACAACTTTTGAATTATGGAAACATAGGAAATTGTAGATTTTAGATTACAATCCCAAAGATCATTAAAATAACTAGAAAATTGAATGAGAAGGTTTTTAAAAAGTGGTAGAAAAACAAGCACTTTTTAGGGTGACTGTTTCTTAATCCCCATTAAAATGAAAAACTACTGTAGCAGTATTCTTAGGAAAGTACAGTGGATGTGAATGTTTATAACTACTGAAACAAATGCTTAATGAGATTTTGGTCTCCTTTGTATAGATCTCATTTGGATGAGAGAGTCAGATAACAGACTGACCTTGACTTTTCTTGTGTGGATGATTTTGTAAAACATTTAGTTTTCAACATTTAAAAACAATCTCTATCATAAATTGCTGCATCCAGTGGTATGCATTTCCATGTAATTTGGTGTTGAGATTGCTAATACATAATTACACTTTTGGGGCTGGAGATGTAGCTCAGTAGTAGAGCACCTGTCTAGCATGTATGAGGCCCTGGGTTCAACCTCCAGCTCTGCAAAAAATAAATTATACAGCTTTCAAGTATACACAATATTTTGGAGTGTGTTTCATAAATTCTTTTATTTGCTCTTAATTTATAGGGTGCTGGTGTAGAATTGTATCCTGGGAGTATAGCCATTTTAGAAAGGAATGAAATTCATCACTGTAATAACTTTAGAACCAGTGACAATTCAAAAAGCACCTTGGGTGGAGTTAATATCAAGGTATCATTTTAGTTCTTATACGAAAATTATGAAAATTTTAAATAGTTATTATATAAGTACTAAAGCATTAGTTTTAGTATTAAAATTTAGTCTGAATGCTATTGATTTGGACAAGGAAAATAGTGTAATAAAACATGACTGAATGATGGCTGGTGGGAAACAAATTTAGTCCTGTAACTTACTAATTGCAGCTTAAACTCTTAGCAAGTAACTTGGAATGTGACAGCGTAGTTTGGTTTCTGCTCTTTCTTTTTTTTTTTGCCTGGGTTTTGCTATGCAGTTCAGCTGGCCTTGAGCTCACTTATTCTAGGCTGGCCTCAAACTTGCAGCACTCCTCCTGCCTCAGCCTCCCAAGTGTTGGGATTACAGACGTATGCCACCATGCCCAGCTTGGTTTTTACTCTAATAATAGTTTGTATTATTTATGGATTAGATCTGTAATGTCTTTTGAAAAGTAAAAAGGGAGCCAAGACAGTGGCATAAGCACCGGCCTGGCAAGCGCAAGGTTGTGAGTTTGATCCCTGGTACAAAAAAAAAAAAGGAAAAGAAAAGTAAAACAAACTAAACAAATAAATATTAAACACTTCAACTCCTTCAGAGTTGTATAAAGCAAAATAATGAAAACATTAATAGTGTTTTGTAGGCAAAATGTCTTCCCAGTCTTTCCTGCTTCTGTAACGCTATTTCCCTAGGTCACACTCTGAGCTTTGTAGTTAATAAATTTTATACTGATGAAGGTTTTTGTAGATCTCTAATTCTTTTATTTATTTATTTAGGTACTGGTAATTGAACTCGGGACCTTGCACTTCCCAGGCAGGCACTTATACCACTGAGCTATATCCCTGGCCCCTTTTTAAATTAACAGTGTACATTCTGTCTCCTCAAGTAGACTTTAAATCACTTAAGAATACCGCTTATCTAAAATGCTTAGAACCAAAAGTGTTTCACATTTGAGTTTTTGGGTTTTTGAATATTTGCATATACATAATCAGCTATTTTGTGGCTGGGAACCAAGTCTAAGGATGAAATTCTTAATTTTTCATATACGTTTTCTAAAGAAAATGTTATACAATATTTTAAGTAATTCTGTGCAGGAAAAAATGTTGCATGGTGTGAAATTTTCCACTGGTGTCATTTCAGCATTCAGAGTTTCAGATTCTAGAGCTCTTTGGATTAGAGATGTTCACCTTGTACTAGAAAACCTGCCTACCCTGTAGCATGAATTTAAGATATTAAATCAGATAATTGACTAAAAATATAGTACAAACCATAACTGGAACACCGTATGGGCAGCTTTGAAATCTCTACGTTAAACATCGTTTTTCGTGGGGTTTTTTTGTTTGTTTTATTTTTTTCTGTTTTTATTTTTTCTGAGAGAAATATTTTTTGTTTTATTTTTATTTTTCTGGCCTTAAACTTACCACGTAGCCAGGCCAGCCTCAAACTCATAACAATTCTCTTGCCCCAGCCTTTTGAGTGCTGGCTGGGTTTGCAAGCCTTAAGATTTTTTCTGTTAAGTATTTTTAAATTTTTCAGTGGCTCTCACATGTTAGCATGCATCAGAACCTCTCTTGAGTGACAAACCCTGGTTTCCAGTCCAGATCTGGGGTAATATATGAGGACTTGAAGGACTTGCTCTAGGAACTGGTCAGGTGCTGCCGACATTGCTGGCCAGCGCTTTGAGAACCGTAGCCCACTAACTCAGTCGGCCTTGGGCACAAGCACTGGAACTACCTGGTATCTTCTGAGAACTGCAGAATCTTGAGCCTTATTTCAAAATAAATCAAAATCTGATTTTAAACAAGGTCTCCAAGTGCCTTACATTATAAAATTAAGTATTACAAACTTTTATAAATGTTTGTAAAACCTGACAAGATCGCTCCCTTGCCTTCTCCAACCTTCTCTTTTCATTCTTTCTCTAATATGTTACATTAAAACTATACTAATGTTTTTGTGTTCTCAGAAATTACTAATCTTTTTTGGGCTATTACCCCACCTGAAATTCTTCCTGTAGCTCTGTAAGTAATGAACAACCACCTCCCTGTTTATGTATTAATATAGCTGTCCTCTTCAAAACACTCAGTACCATGAAGAGCACTCTCAGTGGTGACCTCTCGCTGCTCCCACCCAGCCATCCTCTATTGCTTTGCCCGATTTTATTTTTTCCGTATTGCACATTCTCTGCAATTATTTATCTTCATGTTTTATCATGTTCTATTAGAGGTCACCTTCATGTGCTGTTGCTGTATCCCCATTTAGAATCAGTTATTTTATTAAAAGCTGGTAAATACATTGAAATTTTATTTAATATTTTTATTCATTTAATATTTCCTCATTAAATGTTTGTATTTAATATTAATGTGAAGGAACTACATTTGTTCAATACTTGTTGTTGTATTGTTTTAAAGAAATTGTCAACCCAAGAGTAATTTCTGGAGTAATTTTATATGTTTATATAAATTCTTTATCAGAATTATTAAAAACTAAATTTTCTTAAATAATTTAACAGGCTCTTCCAGCGCCCAAATTGAAGATGACTAATAATCATATTTACAACAACAGTGGCTATGGAGTAAGCATTCTTCAACCAACTGAACAGTTTTTTATTGTAGCAGAAGAAGTTCTCAATGAAGGGGCTGCTTCAGGAGATAAAGTAGATGACAAAATGATCTGCAAAATAATGCAAAACCTGGATCTGGAAATGAATAATAATAAAATAGAAGCAAATTTAAAAGGGGATATCAGAATAGGCACTAATTAAAGCATCTGAATAAATGTTAAAGTTTTATACTTCAGAAATTTGTTTAGTAATTATTATATCCCACAGATATGGTCACTTTTAAGTTCAAAGCTTGTTACAATATTAAAATATTAAATGGTTTCATTGACTTTAACATTTTTAAAATAACTGCTTTATTGAGATACAATTCAAATACAATAAAATACACTCTTCAAAAAGTATATACATTAGTGCTGGAAATACAGCATATAGAGCACTTCCCAAGAATGTAAGGTCCTGTCCAAAACTCAGCACTGCCAAAAAAAAAAAGTACAAAACTATTTTTTAATGAATTTTTACTGTGTAGTTTAGTGATCATATTCAATTCCAGGAACAATATGGCTTTAAGTACTATGTTTTACTATTTATGTCAGAAAGTTAAATGTTCTATACAGATAAATTTATAGTTAATTTTCAGTAATCTGTGTTAGTAATTACATGAAGGTAATATGTCACTGTATAGGGGCTGAGGAGGTAGCTCAGCGGCATAAGTGCCTGCCTTGCAAGCCCGTGGTCATGACTTCAATCCCCGGTACCTTAAAAAAAAAAAAAAAAAGTCACTGTATGAAAATACTAAGTTTAACTGCAAGAAACAAGGATACCCAAAATAAAAGATTAAACAATATAAAAATGTTATTTCTTCTCATAAAGCCAAGGTATAGAGTTGAAAGATGTTTCATGTTAGCACTCAGGAGTCCAGTAGGTGTTTCGTATTAGAAATTCAAGCTTTTCCCATCTTATTTCACATTATATGGTTTCTGTTAAAAATTACCATATGGCCTAAGATAGTGATTCTTGTTCAAAATTATTAGGTTCAAATTCCAGCCAAGAAGAGCATAAGACCTTTCTGCTAAGCTGCACACATTGTTTCAGCTTGCATGCTGTCCTGATTACTTCTCTCTCATTGCTGAGACAAAATACCCCAATGCCCAAAATTACGGAGGAAAGGTTTGCTCAGTTCATGGAGGTTTCAGTCTGTAATTAGCTGACTCCATTGCACGGTGGCATGGCACAGGGACAACAATTCAAGGTGGCAGAAGACAGCAAAAGCAACAAGAGCAAAAGGGGAGGGCAGGCCTCCTTTCCTCCTTTATATTGTAAGCAGGCTGTCACCCATAAGGTGGATGTGGCACTCGCACCATCTCCATGCCCTCCTCTTGCACAGGATGAGGAAATTTAGATCTGCTTTGCTCCTTCCTTGCAGCTTTCCTTAGATGATCCACATTCCTAGTTTTTCCAAACTTCTGAGTCTCCACTGCCCCACTGGTTTCATACAGCTTCACACACTGCCCTCTCAGGCACACTGCCTGGCCTCCCAGACCTTCTAAAATTGAGGTAGAAGCCTTCTTAACCCCATAACTCTTGCATTCTGTGTGCACCTAAAATCAGTGCCATGTGGATAATGCCAAGGTATGCTGCCAGCTGGAGCAGTAGCCAGACTTTCCTGTGTCTTTGTTGTAGGGATTGAGTGAGTGAATCCAATTCTGAGAAATTTTCTATGCTACTGCCATTCTGGAATATGATATTCTGTGGCTTTCTCCTCAAAACAGTCTTTCACTTTTGCAGGTTTGAGGCTGCAAAGGGTGGTGACTTGCTGTTTCTTGTGATGTCCTCAGGCCATCAGCAATCAAAATCTTCTCAGTTTTATCTTTGCAGTCCACAGCTTTAGTGGAACTTCTTTTCTGGCCAAACTCTCAGCATTTTAAATCATCCTGCTGGGCTCTTTGCTCTTGATTCTCAACATAGAAACATAGATCTGGCTAAAACCTCCCAACAGTAGCCTTGCCACACTTTCAACATTCAGTTAGCCTAAACTACATAGTGAGACCCCATCTCAAAAAATGGTTAGCGAGTTCCACCTATGCAAAAGACTGAGCTGAAATTTTACTTTTTTTTTTTTTTTTTGAAACAGTGTCTTGCTATGTAATTCAGGCTGGCCTTGAACTCATTTTGTAGCCCAGGCTGGCCTTGAACTCAAGCTAATTCTCCTACCTCAGCCTTTCAAGTGCTGGGATTACAGGTGTATGCCACCACATCTGACGGAAGATTTTATAATTTAGAAGGATATTTTGTCACAAGTCCTGGGGATGGAAATGCTGAAATTGTACAGATAAGGACTGGACAAATCAGGGATAGATGAATGATCATGGAGTGGGATGAGACTGTGGAGGAGACACCTGGATGGCTCCCCTTGGACGAAGAGCAGTTACCTCCATTTTGGCTAAACCTGGCCCAGTCTCCATGTACAGAGCTGTCTAGGCCATGTCTTTATCCCTTCAACTGGCTTTATGCAACGTAAATACGGCTAGCTGAGGTACTGAGGCAAAATTTTTGAAGCTAGGCGACAGTGTTTTCTCCTCCTGTGACTCCCCAAAACATGATCAAGCCAGGTGAGATGAAGAGCCATGGTCCAGGGGCTGGGGATTTAGCTCAGCGGCATAAGCACCTGCCTTGCAAGCAGGCAGTCGTGAGTTCGGTCCCCGGTACCGATAAAAATGAAAAAGACAAAAAAAAAAAAAAAGCCATGGTCCAGGGCTGTCAATCAGGACTGAGTCTTGAGATAAGAGCTATGACTTCCCTGGGCAGAAAAGTTTTCACATCAGAACTGAAGTACCACCCGCAAAACATTAGATGCTACCTCAATTGTGTTACGCAGCTTGGTCTTTCTGCGTATCCTTTTCTCTGCATATTGCAGAGGTGTGTTCAGGCCTCCCACCCATCCTTGCTCACAATATTCATGTATTTCCCTGTCTTTCTTATAGTCACTCTTCTTCAAACCACCCTTCTTTACAAATTAATAAAATCCAGGTTGGGGACTGGTCAAGGCCTTGTTCCAATGAAACCATCCTGGCTGGGCTTAGGACCCCTTGGCTCCCCATAACTGTAATTATGTCATAATGTCTTTATTCTTACCAATGTCTTGCACTGGCAGTGGTAGATTGTTGGACTTGTTGGAATTCCAATAACTTTTCCAAGGGGTTATAAACATGAACTTCCCAGACTGAGACAAGGTCCAGGAAGGCCTATCTATATGATATGGAATGGATCAGAATCCTTTTTCATGATGGGCAATTTGCAGGGGGAGTGGAGATTTCCTTCACTCTCTTGTCATGCCAAATATCTGCGAGTTGTAAAACCTCACTAGAGAGCAGATGGAAACCATAGGACTAGTGTATCTTGTCAGTTTATGAAGAGGCAATGACAAAAATGGCAGGTGCCTGAAAGGTATGCCTAAATTGTACAAGATATATGCAAAAGTTTCTATGATAGGGCTGGGGATTTACCTCAGCGGCGTAAGTGCCTGTCTTGTAAGCAGGCAGTCGTGAGTTCGATCCCTGGTACTGATAAAAATTTTAAAAAATTAAAAAACAAGTTTCTATGATTATAGATGCTGTTTCCAAGCCAGAGACACATATATGTTATAAATCCAACCATTAAATAGTAAACTTGGAATGTCTAATTTTCTCAAAATTTTCAAATGAACAAGCTGTGACTTGTGCATTTTCAGTAACTGGACCAAATTGGATTGTCTTAAAATGAAGGACATGCACAGGTTTCGGAGTGTGAACTACTCAAAATTCTTCATAACAAATATGGAGCATATGCCATGTGGGTGAGTGTCCTTAGCTGAAAAACACTCCTCATCCCTCAAAACCACTAGACAATATGCTGTTTTTCATAAATATTTTTTTCTACAAAATACTGTAATGTAACTTAGAAACACTTTATAACTCATACTTAAGTGCCAAGTTATTGTTGGAGACCACACATTCAATGGCTAATTTTGCATATTTCGCTATGGGATAAAACGGAGGTTTGGGGTTATTGGTGCCATCCATCTGAGATTTCCCAGACTCTTCTAAGCATAAGATTGTCTATGCCTTCTTGAGTCATCTCAGGATTATACTCCAGGACAGAATCCTTCTTAGCATATGAACATCTATGCCCTCTGGAGTCTGTCTGCTGCTGAATTGTAGTCCCTTACAGCCCCACCTACCACTGTATAGACCTAATAAATAGTGGCTGCTTGGGAAGTGGAGGGGGAACCCACCGAGAGATACGGACTTCCCAGTCATTGGTGCATTATTATCCTTGTCTCTGTCTTTTATTTTCCATGCTATATTCTTAAGACACACAATCAGGACTCTTGGCCAGCTTCCCAATAAGTTATGCCATTATATGTTTGGTAATTGGATATTTATCACATTAATTTTGAGGCTATTTAAAATGAACATTTATTTATAAATAAAATTTTATAGCCATTACAGATATCGCTAGGATATTAGGTTAATTTGCAAATGCTCTGAACAATTATCAATGCCCCTTCAAAACTTTTTATTTTGATCAGCAAGTTAACTTAATCCTACATGCTTCCTATTGTTGTAGAACTATAAAAGTTTTAATCAGCTAAAATAATTACTGAAGTAATAGAAACAACCAATAAACATGCATTTTTACAGATATATAGTTGAGAATCATTGAATATTGGATTATGAAACCAATTCCTTTGTTGCCTTTATCTTTTAATTCTAGATTTGAAGTAAATATGAGGCTCAAAACTTTGAAAATTCCTAACAATTCTTTTATGTAAGATTAATCCTAAGAACACCAACTTGTCCTACTATGAGGAAGATTTTACAAGTTCATTTTTAAATTTTTAGTAGTACATGTTTGTGGCACATAATGATTATACCCATTATGGAGAATTGGTATATGTACATAACACATCTCAACTCTTTTTCGTGCCTGCTCTCTACCCCCATTTAAAAAAATGACACTAGCAAATTCATTTGTTTATTTTATGTCTTATCAAGTTAACTATCATAAACAGATTAATAGGCCAAAAACATATAAAGCACATATAATAATTATACTAAATTAAGGTACACTTTCAGATACATTGCTAGATTACAATAACTTTTTCTTTTCTATTGTCTTTTATTTTGTACTTTACTCATAGAAGAGAAGCTATACAATATTTTTTATTTTGAAAGTAGTAAAATACAACAGAACAAGACAG